GCCGTGTATGACACTGTAAATGTATTGGCATTAGATGACAGATGGGATATAAATGGAGTTAATCAATAAACAAGGTACGCACGTCATCCAATTCTTTAATTTCTTTGAAAGAGGTTAATATGTGTTTAACCTCTAATGGATCTATCCATGATTCCCCCATTTCATACTGTATTTTGCCTTTGGCCGCTTTCTTGTGGTGGCTGATTTGTGTTTCTCATCATGTGAGTGCAGCTAGCTAATTTTAGTCTCTGCATTTAATTATCTCCATGGTGGGAAAGGACTTCCAACATCCAATTGACATGTCTTCCTACGCTGGCATTCTAGGCTTCTCAGTTGCTTTGACATTCGTGACAAGCGAAAGAACCCCAACCCTCTGATCCTTCTCTGCAGTTGTTTGTCAGCCATGATATTATAAGAAATAAAGTTTAAATGTATGCAATTTTGCTGTGTTAAACCAATGCAATTCACAGCACCGTCATGACTACTTGAATAAAACAGAACTTGCTTCTCCTAGCTGATGACAAATACATTTACTTGGAAAGACTGAAAGAACTGGGCATGTATAGTCTTGAGAAAAAAAGACAGGGGAGATGTGATAGCACTTTTCAAATGCTTGAAAGGCTGTCGTACAGAGGAAGGACAGAATCTGTTCTCAGTCATCCCCGAGTGCAGGTCACAAAACAATGGGCTCAAGTTACATGAAGCCAGATTTCAGTTAATATCAGGAAAAACTGTTGGAGCAGAATGACAATGGAACCAGTTACCTCAATAGATAGTGAGTGCTCCAACACTGGAAGCATTCAAGAGAAATGTACACAGCCGCCTGGCAAATATCCTTTGATTTGTATTCTTGCATTGAGAAGGGGGTTGGATTCAATGGCCTTTTAAGCCCCTTCCAACTTCATGATTCTATGAAATCAGCACCATTTTATTGTCAAACTGTGTGTGCATAGGTATGCATATATGTTTGTATATGTAGCGTATATAGGTAACTAAAAATTGTGTGCCATCAAATCTATTTCAACCTGTGGTGACCCCCCCCCAAGGTTTTTCTAGGTGTAAAGTGGTTTACCTGTCCCTTCTTCTGTGATGCTCTGGGACTGTACAGGTTGCCCAAGGCCATATAGGTGGCAGGGTCCATCAGCCATACGTTCTGTGGGTGATTTTCAGCTGGCTCCTCTTCCAAGAAGCACAGTGAGGATTTGAACTCTCTGTCTTTCATGCTTTCTTGCTTTGCCCCTCACTACAGGGAAGACATGATTGTATGGTTTCAGGTTCATCACTTCCCTTTTTGATTCTTTGAAACCTGAGCAAATGTTGAAACGTGAACCACTGGGTGCCATCTAATCACTGTACTTCATCTGCCCTTGCAGTATGCAAATGTTCTTGTCCCAGTATCATTTTGATGCTCTCCGGCTGTGCAGTTAGTTTTCCATACTCTCCTGTATTATGTTATGCATGGAATAAGTGTGTGGTTTGTATTAGCTCTTCAGGCAGCAAGGATATTTTAATGCACCACTATGCATGGAATAGCTCAGAAGTATGTGGTTTGTATTAGCTGTTCAGGCAGCAAGGATATTTTAATGCACCAAAAGCATAGGAGATTTACAGTGTCTTGTAACATCTGTTTATAACCAATTGGTCCTGCATAGAGCTTAGTGTGAAGAGGACAGAGGTGTGGGTGCCCCTCTCAGTGGACTGTTGCATTCCAGCCCGGGGTCTGAAACACATCCCCATCCAGGACAAGAGCCTACTGTGTGGTCTGGGTAGAAGGATAGACTTCAAGAGAAGAGAAGAGACACACCACTCTCAGGCTACTGGAACTCAGACAGAGCAGTCTGCTTGTTGAGGTGCTGGCAGAGACCCTTGGGGGAGATGATGACACCTAGGGGAGAGGAAGGAGGTGGTTTGCCCTGGTACATGGGGAATAAACTCCCTTGTCAAGGGTGGGGACAGAGCTCCTGGGAGAGAGGACTTGGCAGAAGGGAGGCTGTCAGAAGGAGGAGAACAGGGAGTCCAGGCCCAGCTCTCCCTCCAGAGGGGCAGAGAATCCTGAGGAATGTTCCTGGGGAGATACTTGGGAAGAATTCTCCAAGACCTATTGGGCGGAGGAATCCCTGCAGGAAGAGCCTCTGGGGGAATGGCATTACATCTTAAACAAGACATGTGGATAGATTTTGGTGCAACTACAATCCACTAAAGGAAGCAGGAGAACACGTGGCCTCCACCTTGACTGTCCTAATGGGGGGAAACTATTCAACATGTGGACAGGCAGAGGAGAACAGAGATTAAGCCTGGGGAACCAAGAGCCATCCAGATCTAATGCTGTTGGAGACAATACCAACAAGAGCACCAGCACTGGAATGAGAGAGAGACCAAGCTGGTGTGTCAGGAGAACCAAGGACCTCTGTGGAGAGAATCCCCAGATACGTGCCCTTACTGTGGGCATAATGGGTCTTCACCTGTAGGTACACCCCAGTATGGGCAGAGTCCCTGGGCCAGAGTAAGAAGGGGCAGACAGTCATCCTCACCAGTGGCAAGAACCAAGGTAGCTAAGGAGAACATAGAAGTCCTGGTGAAGGGAACCAGGATGCTAGAGACTTTTGAAACAGACATTGGGCAGAACTAGCTAAGTGAACTTAGCTAGTTCTGAAGAGTCTACATGTGTTGAAGGACAGTTGTTTGTTCCCCCTCTCCAAGTATCAATAAACCCTGTTGTGTTTGAACCCTGTCATCTTGAGTCTGTGGATCAGCGATGGAGGAAGGAAGTCAGGGTTCGCAGGGCTCACACTGAGAAACGTGACTTTTGTGTATGTTTTTTGACCTTAATTCCCTGCATCTCCCTGCCAGCATGGCCACTCCTGGGGATGAATTTCCCAAAAAGTAAATTCTCTAGGCTCCATTCCGGTTGATGATTCTGGAAAAATAAGTATACTGTACTCTTTTCCAGGATATTCCGTTCTTCCCGTCTCTCCCTTCCCCAAACATTCAGTAACATGGAACGGCCACTTAGGGTCAGCCCTCAATGGGAAGCTTTTGACTTCGCATCCACTTTTCTCCCCCTGCAGCTGTTTTTCTTCTTCTTCTGCAAACCTTGCTCCAGCCAACCCCAGCTCCTTTATGCTTATGTTTGTCTCTTATGCAGGTTGGGCGCAGTTTGGGGCTGGGGAAAGCCCAGCACATTAAAATTGCTGTTAGTCTGTGCAATGATTTCTAAGCACATTAGTTGAGGAGGTGGCAGACAAGCAGGCAATGAAAGCTCCAAACAGCATGAGTGCTAGAGTGACATCCATACGCCTGGAAGGCCTAAGACAAGGCCGGGCTGGCTGTGGGATTGTGGGTATTGCAGAATTCCCCCAAACACACCCACACACACACCCAGTATGATTTTAGTGCTCTGTATATCAGTGAACATTACAGAGTCTTGCGGAAAATCACATTGAGATTGGGTAGTAAACGTGACTTTGGAAAACAGCTTTTAAAAGATTTTGGTTGGCAAAAACAGTCCTTTAAATAAACATGCCTTAGATTTTGTCTGGGGAAAAGGAATGTTATGCCTCTGATGGATTCTGGGCTCCTTCAGGACACCAGGAAAAGGAAAGAATGTGGAAAGAAAGAGGAACCAAAGGAAGCTGATTCATTTGTGACATGCCATGAGCTGTTTTCCTTCCCTGCTGGGCTCAGAGGCCGAGCTGCACAGAAGGAGTAACATCCATCTGATGTGACAAGCTTGTGACGTTGACAAAAATGTCTTGGCAGTTTGGGCCCTGGGTCTGAACGGTGGAGCATGAAAACATCTGGTCTGCATTGCCGCTATGAAAGGTGTTCATTCCTTGGTTACTCAGGCTACTGAGCTGAAATGTAACAAAGCCTTATACTGACTTTTAAGATTTATTATAGGTATTTGTTGGGATTGTCAGTGCTGTTCCTTTCCTGGTGGCTGAGAAGAAGCGTATTTTCTCCCTGAGGAGCCCAGGTTCAAATCTGGAGCATGACACCAAATAAAGAAAGAATCAAACCCGTGCCTTTTCGGATCTGAACTTTTAGCTGAAAATATCTACATTTTCTCATGTAACCTCAAGTACCAGAGATCTGTTCGTCTTGTTGCCTTTTCTTTTAAAGTATGAAAGCACAGAAGTCTGTAGTCTGCTGACACCTCCCTCCCCTTGTTTTGTTCATTTTGCGTTCCATCCATGACCTTGTTACTAGAAGGAAAGAGATTTCATGCTGTGTGACCTGTTGGTACTTATGCATTTTCATTGTTGGAGTCTTTTTGAAATATGTTGATACTGTATACTACTATTGAGGGATATCAATGTGGTCATGCTGACTGGGGATCTCTGGGAACTGTAGTCCAGAAAGTCACTTTTTCAAGCTTTCACCGTGGCAACCAGCAACTCAAATATTCCACTTCTTTATAGTCAGGCTCAGGAATTGCAGTTAACAATGTTTTAGTATCAGAAAAAACTGCCTTGCTTTATATGAAACTCCTGAGGACTACATTAGGTATGGCTCTCTATTATCTCTCAGCACTAATGGGATGGTATAACAGCCAGCCAACCAGTCTAAGTACAGTGGGGTCTTGACTTGAGAACTTAATCCGTATTGGAAGGCGGTTCTCAAGTCAAAAAGTTCTCAGGTCAAATCTGCATTTCCCATAGGAATGCATTGAAAACCATTTGATCCGTATCTTCTCTATTATCTCTCAGCACTAATGGGACGGTATATCAGCCAGCCAACCAGTCTAACTAACTTACTAACCTGTCTGCACCTGAGTAAGAATAGCTCAACCACTGAGAAAAGTTTGTGTGACAGTCCTGGGCTGTCCCGGTGACAACAAGGGAGGGGAGCAGATGTCTCTCCAGATACTGTTGATGTCTTGCCTTTGGCTCTGGAGGCCAGCTTTGTTGTTGTCTGGGAACATCTGGGGCGCCACACACTCCCCAGCCCATGAATTGCAGTTACCTCCTTGGTGACAGTTCTGCATTTTGTATTTGTAGCTGAGTGATGATGTGGAACACATAGCTGTCAATGCGCAGCCTTCAGAGGAACAAGATGAGGATCAGGAAGACGCCGGTTCAACTATCCTGCCAGGTAAGGGCTGCTGATCCTGAGTAATTGGCTAAATATGTACAGTGGTGCCGCGCATAGCGACGATAATCCGTGCAGCCAAAATCGTCGCTATACGGATTCGTCGCTATGCGCAATAAAAAAGCCCATGGGAGTGCATTAAAACCCGTTTAATGCGTTCCTATGGGCAAAAAACTCGCCTTTATGCAAAAATCCTCCATAGGGCTGCCATTTTCGCTGCCCGGTAAGCGAGGAATCCGGGCGAAAACACAGTGGGCGGCCATTTTTTTTACCCGGCAGCCATGTTGGAACCGCCGATCAGCTGTTGGGAAATCATTGTTATGCGAAAATCGGTAAGCGAAACAGCTTAATGATCATCGCAAAGCGATTTTTTCCCATTAGAAACATCGCAATGCGACCGCAAAAACGATCACAAAAAATTGTCGCTATGCGGATTAGTCATTAAACAGGGCGCCCGTTAAGCGAGGCACCACTGTATGTGGTTACAAAGCTCGGGGAAGTTCCTTTTGTAGGCTACAATTCCCAAACCCTCTACCCAGCCATCCAGCCTGGCCAGTGGATTGTGGGAGATGTAATCCAAAATTGAATACTTCCAGGCTCTACTAGGTGCACATCCTGGGCGCCTGGTTGATGGTGGATTGTTTTTTATGTTCACAAAAGAAAAGCAAGGCAATTACAGCTCTGTGAGGGATATAAAAAAACAGCAAATCTGCATACTGAGGAGGAGAGTTGCCAGTTTACTCAGCAGGCACAGCAGAGTGGTTAAAGTGTGGGCTAAGACAGGAAAACGTGGGTTCCAATTCTCACTCGTCTGTAAAGCACCCTAGGTGACTATGAGCCAGGCCAGTTCCCAGCCTAACCTATTTCAAGGGCACCTTGTGATGTTTGAGTGGGGAAGGAGGACCATGCAGTTGAGTTCCCTAGAGCAGAGGGACAGTATAAATGAAACTAATAATAATTAATAAAATGATACAGCTGGCATGAAGGGCCGCAGAAGCCAAGCCCTGAGGTGGATCTGAGGGGAAAGGGAAGGAATAGGTTTGTCTCTAACAGGCCACTCTTCACCCTCCTCTTCATTGCAGGAGAAAACAGTGTTGGCACCACAGCAAAACTTGGGAAAGTTACATTTTTTGACTACAGCTCCCAGAATCCCACAGCCAAAATGATCAATCGCCATAGAGGTGGGAGAATTTATGTTTTTGGACCATGGCTTCCAGAATTCTCTAGCCATCTCTTGGTCTTGCAGGCCAGAAGATTCAGGGAGAAAGTAATTTTTCCAAGCTTTGCGCTCCCTACATCCTTCCAGATTTTATTAATTTTTTTCTTGGGTAACCTGGAGTTTGGTGAAATTTAATATTCTGAAACTGTATGAGCCAGTATGAGTTCAGGTCTTAGCTGAGCATTTGATTCAGTCCTAGACAACACTGCTTCGGTGCATTTCAGCAAGTCCTGCCTGAAGAATGTCTTCTCCGTCATCCTCCTCTTCATCTATCTCTTGCTTATGGCTGTAGCCATCTTCTTGGTCTACCAAACCATCACCGACTTCAGGGAAAAGCTCAAGCACCCAGTTATGTCTGTCTCTTACAAAGAGGTGTCTACTTACGATGCCCCAGGTAAGACTGTAAAGTAAAAAGCAGGCTTTTACTGTAAACTTGGTATGTTGACCAGGATTGGTAGGCAGTGTAGTGTAATGGTAAGAGCATGGAACTAGGACTTGGGTTCAGAACTCTACTTTTGCCATGAAACTCGCTGGCTTACCTTGGACCACTTGTACTCTTCCAGCCGAGCCAGTGTTGTAGAGCTGTGGTGAGAAGAAAGTACAGAGAGGTGATGCTGCCCTGAACTCATTGGAGGAAAGGCTAACAAATATATAAATAGCAAACTATAACCAGCAGCAATGGTTAAATATTATTTTGCACCAGGTAATGGGTTTAGTCCATGTAGTGGTTCTTTATTAAGCAGTGCCTTTGCTGATGGCTGCAAAGATTAACTTGACAGATTAGCTTGAATATCCTTGACAGAGTCTAAAGATACACTGTGTGTATGGTGCAGATGCTCCCAGGAGCTTAGTCCCTACTAGTCAGAGATGCAGCGGCTGCCTTTTAGAGCCTTATAGAGTCATGGGAGAGGAGACAGTTGGCATGGCAGCTGCTGGTTAAATGGAGGTAGGTGTGCAGCAAGCATTGCATGGAAGATGGCATAGAGTACGTCCAAAGAGGACTTATAGTTGCTTTTGACGTGTATATATTGGCAATGATTTTATTTATTTATTAGGGCATAGAGTACATCCAAAGATGACTTATAGTTGCTTTTAAAGTGTATATATTGGCAATGATGATATTTATTTATTTATTTATTTTCTCCATGAGTGTTGTGTCCTGTCATCCTTTCAGCTTCCACTTAATCCTCTTTTTAGGGGCTTCAAAAGCAGATGGTGACAGTTTAGCTGAATTCTTTGTGTCTGATATAATTTCCAACTAGGATGACATCTCATCAAAAGAGTTCCTGGCAGTAATTTCCAGAGCAGACTTTGGAAAAGTTACTTTTATGGGCTAGAAATCCCAGAGGTCCACAGCCACCATGGCTGGGCATCATGCTAACTGAGGGATTCTGGGACTTGCAGTCCAAAACAGCAGCTCTTTTCCAGAATCTCTCCTTGGCTAAGGCCATTGGATTAATTTCCTTTATGACCCCAGAGGACGTCAACAAAGGTTCGGAGCAGTGGCTGCTGGATCTTTGCCTCGTTGTGGGTGGATGTTTGCTAGAGGCTGCCTTTGACATTGGCTGGTGCTGATTATTAAGACATCACTGAGGAAATGAGTGAGAAGCCATTTAAGTCTGTTGCTAGAAAAGAGCCCTAGATTTTGTGTACTTTAAATAATCTTTTATTTAGTATGGCCAGTCACTAATTGGACAGAACAATTGGAGAAGCTTGCAGGATGGTGGGGACGTCTCTGTGGGCTTAATCTGCGGTCCGGTGTTTCCATCCGAATGTCAATACATGTTCTTTACTGATAAATGATGTTTTCCAAAGTTAATGGCAAAGGGTGGACTTTGTCTCACGATTCCCTGGTCTGTCGTAGCCATCGTAGCCTGTCTACCAGTAGTGGTAGATTTAATTTACAGTGTTGTCTTACTATGATCTGTCTCTGATCCTGTTCATTAGAAATGTATCCCTGCTCCTTCCCCACAGGCATTGCCCTCTATCCAGGCAAGGCTGAACTGCTCACCTGCAAGCACCACTACTATGATTACATTCCACCTCTGGTGAACCCTGGTCAGCCAGGAGAAATTGAATGCACAACACAGAGAATCAACTATACGGATCCTTTTACTAATCAAACCAAGGTAATAATTAAGCTGGATTCAGCACTGTAGTGCATTGCTGAGAAGCTGCTGTGAAATTTCCTTACTGTTTTGTTGTTGTTGCGGTGGTGGTGGTAGTTGTTGTTGTTTTTATTTCCAAACTATGTTTGAAACCAGTTGGGGAGTGTATTTTAGTCTGTAGGTTCACTTACAAAACTGGTATGAATCAGTTCATCTTTGCTAATGATGTGGATGGTCTTATTACCAGAGCTAGTGAATGAGACTTTTTTAGACTACAACTCCCAGAATCCACGTGGCCTGTGCAGAGTCTGATCATAGAATAGTGAAGTTGGAAGGGGCCTGTAAGGCTATCAAGTCCAACCCCCTGCTTGATGCAAGAATACAAATCAAAGAATCTGATCCAGTGGTTGTGTTTGCAGATACCTATGTGGCTAACTTCTGTAACAAACCCAGCTAATAGTGAGGGTGTTCACATCAGTTCCACATGCAGGTTCAAAGCATCTGTGATGGCTTTTTGCGAGCTCATCATCTATCTCCATCCCTGCTGTGCATGCTATGGGATAAGCATGAGCCAGTGAGGGTTCTGCTGTCGCTTAATAGACTTTTGCTGGGAATGTGTTGTAATTGCTATTACTGTCTTAAAGCACCAGGAAATCCCATTGTCCAGTTCAGTGACCACAGGCAGACATAGAGGACAAAGATTCCCACTTGCCTTTCTGGCTCTTCTTCCCATGTACCTTCTCTTCTTCTTGCACTCTCTCAGAAACATGCTGTTGTTGTTGAAGGGCCTCGGGATGTGAAGAAACGAGAACTGGTCTTCATGCAGTTCCACCTCAATGAGACAGACCAGGATTTCAGCGCAATAGACTACCTCCTTTTTTCTTCCTTCCAGGAGTTCCTCAACAGGTACAGTCCTACTCCTGATTTGTGTTACCATCACCATAGACACCACCAGTTGCTGCTGGTCTGTGGTTTTGTTTTGTTTTTGTTTTGTTTTTTTGCTGTTTTTCTTGCCTTATCTCTATTTTTATATGTGTTGTGAAATCTTAAAAAGAAGAGGGTGTGATTCTCTCCTGAAATAAAAAACAACCAACAGCAAAAGCCTGGAAGTAACCTTGTCATCACTTCCTGCTGATGTCAAGAGGGCTGGTGTGAATTGTGGCAGATCCTGGATACTTTTAGAAAAAGGCTCCAAACCCTTCAGAGTTTCCTATAGACCTGGGCAAAGTGTACCCACGGACAGTTTTGAGCATCAAAACCATTTATAACTTTTTGTCTAAAGTTGATCAGTTGCTTATTTTTAACATACCACAAAAAACCTCTTTAGTATATGTGAAGATTAACAAGTTTAAAATAAAAACAATCATAAGATCACAATTTCATTTTATTTTTAAGTAAAGTTGGTTCGGCCCCTGAACACAGTTCAGATTTTTCAAGTGCCCCCCCCCTTATAGAAATTGATGGTTGGACAGTGTCATCGAAGCAACCAACATGAATTTGACACAACTCCGGGAGGCAGTGGAAGATAGGAGGGCCTGGTGTGCTCTGGTCCATGGGGTCACAAAGAGTCGGACACGACTAAACAACTAAACAAAAACGATGTATGGGAAGCCAAGAAGACTGGCAATTGAATCTTACTACAATACTTAGGAGTGCCTTCTACCTCATATGAGACCGTGGGCTGGTTGATGGGCCACAGGACAAGCATCTGCTACCTGCTAACTGCTACCTGAGGCAGTTATCTCACTTATCCGAATAGCAGGACTGGCCTAGCAACCAGTGGAGCAGCTTCCTTTTAAAACAGGAAACTAGGCCCAAGCTCAGCCTGTCCTGAGCCATGAGGCTTTTCAGTCCAGTTGGCCTTCTTCCAGGTGAGTACCATTCAACTGCCTTGTTGGGCAGGTTGACTCCAAGAAAGGAGAATTCTTCGATTTGGAGTCCAAAACAAAACAAACAGATAAAAGCCCAAAAACACAGCCTAGGCATAGATTTCCCCGGAGAATCTTGGGAACTGAGAGAACCTGTGAGCCACAGTTACCGGGATTCCCTGGTAAGAGAGGATAGCAATTGAATCAATCTGAGCCTGCAATGCAGGGGTGGGGAGTTTGTTCTATGTTCTTCCTGTAGAAGACTTAACTTGCAGCACAGCCATCAAAATGGCACTGTTCCCAAGACGTTGGGAAGTTATTTTGGGGGTTACAATTCCCAGAATCCTCCACCAGCCGACATGGCAGAGAGCTATGTTCTCTGGGGGCATGCTAGCAGGTACAGTTCAAAGAACAAACTCCCAGCCGCCATGCTTCTGCCTGTGAAATTTAATTGGGAAGGGGCAAGGAGGCATTTCACAGGGTTACACAACCGTGGTTTCCCCATTGGAGCCAACTGCACATGATTTGTTCTGTGCATGTAAGGACAAATTATATCGCTCAAGGAAATGGAGTAGCATGTCATTCACAGAGATAGGCTTCAAAACCAGCCTTAAACAAAGCTACAGGTGTTTCTGTTTGAGATGAAGCATCTGAATTGAATTCTGGGTGATTGCCTGTGTAGAGGCTTTCCATATAAATTAAGCTTACCATGAATCATCCTTTTGCATCCTTTCTTCTTCTTTTTTTAGGCCCACTGCATAACATATGTGGCTGCCTTGGTAACCCACAATTAGCTGAAGTATGGAGAGGCTTTCAGGCTGAAGTGGCTAAGTCTGAATAATTAAGAGGTCCAGCCAGGCCTTGTAATAGAGCTAAAGTGTCCTTTTAGACGGTCTGAGGAAACCATTCATTTCAGCTGATTTCATATTTCCACCAGAAGCATCCCCAAGGAAATAACTTTCATGGAAATTTAAGAGGATAGGAGAGCTATTTTCCAGTTTTATTAATAAAGGGCCATGTTTAATTGTCTCCTCTACAAAGTAGAGCCATTACTTAATTGTTTGCAAGGATGATTTGAAAATCCTCAAGGAGATACTAATGGGGCGGGCACAGAAATAAATTGATATTGGGAAGCTTCAATGTCCGTGGTCCTTGCCATAGATAGTGCTTTTGTTACCATTGTTGACTAGGCGAGGAGGGGGTCTCTGGCGTGCGGCCCCCCCAGTACAGCCGCTGCCACCCTGATCCCAGTCCCGGGCGGGCGCCTCCTCCTTTGCAGCGCCTCCTGCCACAACGGCTCTCTGGCTCGGCGCCCCAGGGGTGCGCGCGGGGATCGGGGCCAGGCCCTTCACCCCTCCTTCCCTCCCTCCTCCCAAGGCGCCAATCTGGAGCTCCCCTGCTCCCCCCTCCTGCCGTCCCCTATTTATGCAGGAGGTCTGGGGGGGGGGTAGCGTGCGGTGCCGATCAGCTATTTAAAAAGCATTGCTTTGCCATGATCGGTTCCCCAAGCAGGGAACCGATCATCACAAAGCGAAATTCCCCCATAGGGAACATCGCAAAGCGATCGCAAAATCTTCATTGCAAAGCGATTTCATCGTTATACGACGCAATCGCTATGCGAGGCACCACTGTAATTACTTTACAGTAGGGTTTTTTTAAACTGTAAAAGCAAGTTTCAGTCCAAGCATTTATTTAATTTTTTTTTTTTTGGTACTCCAAATCTGCCTTTATCAGGTAGGAAATTGTGGGACTTAAGAGTCCAAAAAATAACTTTCCCATGCTCTTCTCTGGCAGTGCTATTAAAGCTATTCAATTTTAAAATTTCTCTTAAGTTCCCCATAACTCTGGATTTTAAATGTATTATGTCCAAGAAGTGTATTACTTCTTTTTAAAAGTTTATATATTTTTTTTGTTTCATTCCAACAAAAATGGCACAATCCTTTTGTAATAAGAACCTTTTTCAGTGTGAACTCTTCTCCCAAGGTCCAAAGCAATCAGTCCCCAAAGGACAGTCTAATCAGTTTCTACTTAATCCCCCCCCCCGCTTTAATAATTGTAACATAAGAAGAGGGAGAACAAAAGGCTTGGGGAATGTTACAAAAGATAAACCTCTAGGAAATTTTCTGGTCTCCTTTCACCTTACATTCTGTTAATGAGTCCTCTACACTTACTAAAAAAAGAAATACAGCTGCATTAGCCATGAGTAAAATAAAAAAGAAAGCTGACATACTTTTATCAATTCATGAATGTGGGATTTCACTGAATACAAATTCCCATTCAGTAGTGTATAGTGTAGAGATTAGACACATGATTTATTTTAAAGTGACAGCTGACACTTTCAGGAAAGTGATTTCTCAGAGCCAGAACACCACTTCTTGTTCCTGGCCTCTGTGAATCACACCCTGGGTGATCCGTGCCAGCGCGTAGCCTCATCGGAAAGTTCTAGAGCTTCTGCGGTAGCAAAAAACACATTAGAATAAGACCCCTCCCCCTCGTATAAGTACCTTGGCACCAAGGCTCCCCTTTCAGTTTCTTTCAACCGCTGTGTTGAGAGCCTCATAGTTCTGCTTCTGTGAGTAAAAGAGAAGGAGAGTTTATTCTTGATTCCTTCCTGTTATCAATCTTTTTGCCTTTAAACTTTTAGATCAAATTCATTATCATTAGAAATTTTTCCTTTCTGCTTTGCACGGCCTCTGGCCGCAGCAGCCTCGCCCCCAATCATCGCTTTTTCTCCTCAAATTGTTTTTCTCCTATTCATGGCCCCTTTGTGCCCGTTTAAACACGGTGTGGCCTGTGATAACAAAATACCACTCTCCGACAGCCACGCCAAGTGTCTTTTTTGCTTGGGAGAGGCACACCAGACATCCTCTTGCCAGCATTGTAAGAACTTCAGGCGTGGAGTCCTCCATTCTCGCTTATCCAGATTAAAACTTCATCTTTGGGAACAATCCCTTCAACCAGCCAAAATGGCCCAACCTCCTTATAAGGCCATCTCACAAACCAAAGCAATGAAGAAGGCTCTTTCTGAAGCCTCCAAACAAGGTCCATCGACCACAGCATCCCATTCCAACACTCCATCCACTTCATCTAGAACTTCAAAAACCCATAAATTGAAGCGCTTGATACTGAAATCCTCTTGAGGCAGGAGATCTGCAGAAAAAAGGCCAGGGCGGAAACTTACTCAGGCTTTATGTGCTAGTCTTTTTCATCTCGTTTCGTGTTACAGTGGTGCCTCTCTAGACAGTTACCCCGCATGACAGGTTTTTTTTTGCTAGACATTGCTATAGCGATTTGCAGAACAGTGATTCCTATGGGGGAATTTCGCTGGACAATGTTTGGTCCCTGCTTCACAAACCGATTTTCGCTACACAATGATTTTGACAGCTCCCTCCGCGCTCGCAAACAGGTGTTTTCGGGACCTAAGCTTCGCAAGACAGCGATTTAAACAGCTGATCGGCAGTTCGCAAAGCGGCTTTCCTATGGCTGATCTTCGCTAGACAACGATTCTTTCCCATTGGAACGCATTAAACAGGTTTCAATGCATTCCAATGGGGAAATGCTTTCGCTAGACAGTGATTTCGCTAAACAGCGATTTCAGTGGAACGGATTATCATCGTCTAGCGAGGCACCACTGTATAGTAAAATGAGCTTGAAAATTTGAGTTAAATGTTTTTCTGTATACATGTATAATAGCTGAATAGAAAGACTCTTTAAGATGGCTGATGTTAGTACACTGGCTAACATTGCAATTCTGTACACACCCACTCAGAATAAAATTTATTGGTTTTGATGGAAACTATATTAAGGTGTGCATAGCAGCTTTCCCAAATCTGGGCCCAATCAGAAGTTTCTCCCTACAACTGCCATCATATCCCTAACCACTGACTGTGCGAGCCAGGGTGGACAGGAGTTAAATGTCAAAGTATCTTTAGGTCCCAGGGAAGGCTAATGGCTAGGGATTACAAACTCAGCTAGAAGAATCCGTTTTCCCCATGTCTGTGGAATGGGGATAATAACATTGACCTCCCATAGGAGGGCTGTTGTAAGGCCTGCACCATAATTAAAAGAGCTTTATAAATGTGCAGTATTACTAAATAGGTACTCAAGTAGCCGAATTCGTCTCCGAGGCAGCTGGTCACATCACTCACTATTTTTTCCCTTCAGGGTGACTGTAGCAAAATATTTTCACCTCCTTTCCTTTCTAAAAGTAACACTGATAACTTCTTCCTGCTGCAGTCCAAACAAGTCAGAGTTTATGAAGGATTGTGAGAGCTCCTACTCTAGTTGGAAGTTCTCCGGCGGCTTCCGAACCTGGGTCAAAATGTCTTTGGTGAAAACGAAAGAAGAAGATAGCAGAGAGACGGTTGAATTCAGACAGGAGGTAATAATGGGCACTGGTGGGTCTTTCTGGCTGCCGAAGGGAAGAAGCACAGCTTTTATTGCTACAGGAACTGTTCTATGATGATTGCCTTTGCTGCTGGGTTTTAACATCACCCTTGCTTAGGGAGATAGCGGTGAAATATTACATAGAATGACAGAGGGTGTACACAGCACACCACTTGAGCTTTAGTGCCTAGTCGTCTTCGTCTTCAGGCACTCCCCATTTCCTCCAAGCAACCAGAATTCCAGAAGCGGTGCTGCTTATGTGAAGGCTTCCGCTGAATAAGAATAAGCGCTCATGACTCAGCCAGTCTTTGTAAGATCTGTTCGTTGATATCTATGCTAGCAGAGCACATTGCAAGCAAGCAGGTCACTCAGATAGCAGTCTTTTACTCGTTCATCAGATTCCCAGAATCAATTCCTTGCTCCCCAGTTTGAGTCAACTTGAGGTCACACTTAGTGTCCTTTTCTTATAGGTGTCCAGCTTTTGCCCCTTCCACTTCTGGAAGGCTGGGGAATGAGCCTCAGTCATTAGAACTAACCGTACCATCATAAAAGACTGTGCAACCTTTTGAGTTCTGCAGAATTCTTCATTAGGCTGGGATGGTACAAAAGTTATCCAGGTTTGGAGGGGGTGGGAACAACCTTCCCAAGTCAGGCCAAGTATTGTGGCCACATGGCTTACATTTGAGACCCAGTTTTGAGATTGCAGACTAGGAATGGGCAATGCAGAGCCTGCAGACTACAAATGCCTTCCAGGTGGGGTTTCTATCCCGATTGGCCTCCCAGCCACTGCAGTAGCAGCAGTGAAATTGAAACAGATGAAATACATACGCAAGGTGCCTGGGACTACCTGTTCTGTTTTTAATGAGAATTGCACTTCCAGAAATCTCTAAGAAGCATGATTCTTCTTCAAAGGCTGCTTGCATGTCTCGGTGTGTACATCCAGAAAATGAACTGTTTTGCCATCACAGCACCAAATGCGGTGGTGAGATGTGGTCACCAGTGGATCCTAGACCCAGCAGATAGAATGAATGATTGAGTGACTGGTATAGGTTGCAGGGATTTGGTCATACCCACAATTCTGGGATGCAGGAATATAAGATACTTGTTTTGTTTGAGATGGGCCAGTTCTATGATGGTAAGAGCACGTTTTTTTCCCTTGCTTTATTGCCAGATCAGTGTGGTTAACTATATTGAGCGGAGGAAGAATTCAGGAGGTGACCAGCTGTTCTTTGTGGTATTTGAATGGAAAGACCCTTTTATTCAGGAAGTACAAGATGTGAGTAAAATATTGGAAGTTTTATTTTAACATGTGCTTTCTTTTCTTCCCATTATTCCTGCCAAATGAATAACAGGAAACTGGGAAACTTACTGGTATATTTGAACTTGCCCTTTTCTTTCTGGTAGCAATATGGCTATGGGGGGGGACTTTTGTTGTCATATGTGTGCAACTGAGAAATTGGGAGGGGGGGACCAAGAGAAAAAAGTGATTCATCTGAAATGTATTATTGGAGGATAGCTTTACAGACATTACAGACTGCCAGAAAAACAAATCAGCAGGTGCTAGATGAAATGAATCTGAATTCTCCCTAGAAGCAAAAATGACTAAACTGAGGATATCGTTCTCTGAGCCCATCATGAGAAAACAATACTCACTGGAAAAGACAATAATGCCAAGAAAATTGGAAGACAGTAGGAAAAGAAGGAGCTCAAACAAGAGATGATTGACTCAAAAAAGGAAGCCACAGCCTGGAGTTTGCAAGAGCTGAGTAGAACATTTTGGAAGTCACTCATTCAAAGGGTCTTAAGTGAGAAGCAACTTGTTGGTGCATAAGAAGAACAAAATGGATAAGTGCAGTGTACCCATAATAAAGGCAGCCACTGAGGAAACAAATCAGTAAATAAACCAGTTAAATTCTCTGCTGCCCATATTTAATCACTTTATGCAGCAGTGAGCAACTAAGCTTTCTATATGTGTAGTTGTAAGAGTGTTGCTGAGAAACCAGGTAAAAAGGAAAAATATGGCTGACACATTTAACTGTATGGAAGAAAGTTCATATGCCATGTATACATCAGGAAAGAGAATGGGTGCATTTCACCTTCAGCGTGTAGACGGGCACCCCATCACCATTGGCTACACAGACTAGGGATGATGAAGTGGCATCCGACCAATATATGTTCCCACGCCATCTGAGAACCTCGGGGTTAGGCCCCTTCCAACTTCTTTATTCTATGATTGTGATCCTGAACAGAGTCAGTGTAGTGTAGAAGTTAGTTTTGGATAAGAACTTGGGTTCAAATCCCAATTTGGCCATGAAAGGTGACCTTAAGGCAGCAAGCTTGACTTTAGCAGGGTTTTCTGAAGAGAAAACAAGATTTATACATACAGCCTTGAGCTCCCTGTGGAAAAAGTTGGATAGAAGTGTAACAAACAAAATGAACACATCTGGGAAATTTTAATGATGACCATCACAAATCAATCCAACTACTGTATGTTTGAGGTATTACTGTAGCCACCATTTTACATGTTACAGTTTTGAGTCTCTTTGGTTGTAATTCACCCCAAGAGTGGTTGGTTGCTGGTTGGGCACTATTGCTTATTTAAATTATTGTACACTCAGTTTTCAGCATTTCTAGAGCCCTATTGAGGCACTGTAAACTGCTTTATGTAAACATACCGGGAAGGAATTCTGTAGCTCTAAGTTACTAGATACCACAATCTACAAATTATAGTCTGAAATGATGAGTTGCCTCTACTTGCAGAGCTGGCCCATCAAATTTCACTTAATTTTCCCTGAAGTAGAATCTCCCAACTTAAAGGCTCTCTGCCCTGGTTGTTGTTCTATGTATCTAAGGAGAGCAACACCAGAGGGTGTGATACTATAGCACTTTCCTTGCTCTCACATTTTTACTCAACCTAGTTTTATAAAGTTCAGGAGGGCTTAGAATAGGGCTGGACAAAGTGTGGTCTTCAATAGGTTGCTGGACTTCAGAGCCCAGTAGTCTTTCTCATTGGCTGTGTTGGCTAGGGCTGATGGGCATTGCAGTCCAGTAACATCTGGTGAACTGCTCTTTGCTAATACACTTCAAGCATGTTATGGTGCAAAAAAGTAATTTTTGCAAGCTCTGGTGTTCAAAGCATCCATAGGAAGGCGTTTACTGACTGTTGTACATATAAATGAGGATGCAGTTGCAGTGGTGCTCTAGACATGAGCTTTAGCCAGGTATTATAGCTGGATCTGTTTCAACACGTGATGGGGAGGGGGCTAAGATATGTAAATAGGATTTACCATAGTTTTCTGTGTATAAGACTATAATTCTGTCTAAAATTTTTAGACTACAAATGGAGGGTCGTCTTATACACGAAGTAAGCTGAGGAGAGTACAAAAACAAGTGGAGGGAAAAGCAGAGATCAAATTGTTCCTGCAGGGCTTTGATCCCTGCTTTGCCCTCCACTTGCTAATCCTTAGCAAAAGGAAAACAGGGATCAAAGCGCTGCAAGATCGCTTTGATCCCTGCTTTCCGCTCTGCTTGCTAAATCCCATGGGGCTTAACAAAAGGAGGGGGGAAGAATCAAAGCAATCTCATGGCTGTATAAGGGGGAAAGGAATCAAAATGATCGTGCAGTTGCGGAATTGTTTTGATCCCTTTCCCCCTCCTTTTGCTAAACCCCACTTAGGTTTCTTAATTTTGGATTAGAAAAGTGGGGGCATCTTATACACAGAAAAATACAGTAAATCTACAGACTGAATCTCTGTTTAGCTGTTAAGGAGGTATGTGGAGATGCTAGCCCTGCTCCTATCCATGACGTTGAACTTGGAAACATGATTGTCATCAGCCAGAATCCCAATTCAGGGTTGGCTCATATGGAGAACCTCTCCAGGCGATAGCCTCTCCATCTTCAGACAATCATATTTCCATGTTGTGTGATCCCCAGTGTGCTGCATCAATGGGCTGCATCTGTCTCTGGAATAACTGAATAGACTTGAATCTTTCAATGTACTTAACTATGGATGCATAAAACAAGTTTACTGCACTTTCATGTGTATGTGAATTCCAAAGTTTCCACTGAGTTTAGACAGGCTTGTTCCCACATAAGTTTTTATAAGGCTAGAGTATATGAGTACAACGTTGGAAATAATTAATGTTCCAGCAATAGTAGAACACAATTCTTTTTCACAATCCAATTGCAAAGTCTATCTGTAGGGATAAGATACTGGTGTACAGTTATTATAGGGAAAACAGTGCTGAACTACAGCTTTTCCTCTCATTTAGTAATTTGGGAGCAGGAGCTGAAAATGCAAGGAACCTTGACCACACAAAATATTTTGCAGTGCTAGTCAAATTTCAGTTAAAATGGTACATTGAAATGGGTAAGGACAGCTTATCAGTCATTTAAAAATCACAGTGAAAGAATCCTCCTATTAAAAAAAAACAATTACAGCATAAATTTGATTTCTTTCCATAGATTATCACTGCAAATCCGTGGAACATGATTGCTCTTCTGTGCGGCATTTTCCTGGCTTTGTTTAAAGCAGCTGATTTTGCCAAACTCAGTGTGAAATGGATGATAAAAATCCGAAAACGGCACCTCAAGAGAAAGAGTCAAGTTTTGAACCACATAAGCTGAGGAGTTAAGCCCCCACTGGGTCTTCTGCTGCACTGGAGAACACAAATGACATAAAGACTAAACCAGTACAGCAGTTGTCCTGCACAGGAAACAACTCAACTGATAGAAGGGCTGCTTACTTTGCTGGACTATAAATGAACCTGACACTTGAAGTTTTAGCAATCTACTAACTTTTATAAGAACTCCTACTAAACCCATGTTCTTTGCTAGTTGAAAAAAGAAGAGCTCTTTTACTAAGCTGTTGTGAGATGGTACTTTTTCAGGGATACTCCTGAAAAAGTATTTGATCTCTGTAACTCACAATCAGTATGAATGGGCAGGACCTGTAGCAGTGAAGCAAATGTGTGTCAGAATTAAAATGGAATGTTGCACTTAAGGACTTTAAAACATTAATGCATTTGCTAAATCCCGTTCAGTGCTTTAGGCCCAGTTTTAGTCTCAGTGTGATCATTTAATAGCTAAGGAAAAAGCACACCTGCTTTGAGACCCTCAACGAAAAGGAGCTTCAAGAGTGCACACGTGACCTGCTCTGAAGCATGTGACAAATGTGTTTCAGATACTGCTCCGATAGACACACTCCAAGGGCTAAAAATACATTGTTTTTGCCAGGTGTGCACTGGGATGTACACTGATTTTAAGTGATCCATAGCTGTGCTGCAGACGAGTTGGATGTCATGCAGCTGCCCAGTGTTGGTCAAAGAGTCCTTTCATGTTCAAACCTGAAGCATTACATTCTCACTCCTTCACGTATTCAGATGCTTAATTGCTAACAGAATACAGTGGGTCTCAAAAACGACTCTTCACCAAATAGAACACAAAGGAGCCTTCTTTATACACTAGAACTCTGAAAGCACTGGAATTTTAGCAAATATACCGATTGATTAAAAAAAAAGGCATTTAATTGTGCTGAAGGCTTTTTCAATAAAATCACGTGTGTACTACACCTGTCTTAAAATTTATTTCTGGTAATGTACTAGAAACTAGATGATGGAAGGGAGATTAGCAGAGAATTTGGAAAAAACAAGCAAGCTGGGGCTGGAGAGTGGCTGTTTGAGCTAGAGGAGGCGAGGAGCGCATGTGTACTGCCACCTTTGCAAACTGGGATGAAACAGGATGTTTCAATAAAATCACGTGTGTACTACACCTGTCTTAAAATTTATTTCTGGTAATGTACTAGAAACTAGATGATGGAAGGGAGATTAGCAGAGAATTTGGAAAAAACAAGCAAGCTGGGGCTGGAGAGTGGCTGTTTGAGCTAGAGGAGGCGAGGAGCGCATGTGTACTGCCACCTTTGCAAACTGGGATGAAACAGGATGAGCCAGTTCACGGAGCCTCAGCATGTGTGCTGCCAACCTTTGCAAACTGGGATGAAACAGGATGAGCCAGTTCATGCCCATCTCTATTGATGATCCATCCATAGGGTCCCTTCCAGCTCTGCAGTTCTAAGATTATTATATTTTATAAAAGCAAAAAAGAGAAAACATGTTAATCAAAACAATTAAACAGAAGGTAAATATAATAAGTCAAATGGAACATGAGATTTTTTTAATAGATCTATTATGTATCTTACTTCAACCCAAAATCTTCAAGGCAGTTACATGATTAGGAAAATTGCTCACCTGACTACAATGGTGAGGTTTCACTTAACTGGGGCTTATTTTTGGGGTAGAGCTTATATTATGAGCATCCTGAAAAATCATACTAGGGCTTATTTTCAGGTTAGGTCTTATTTTTGGGGAAACGGTAGATCTTTAGATATATAAGCACTGTGTAACCAGTTTGCTCTGGATTACAAATACAGTGGTGTCTCTACTTACGAACGTCCCAACATATGACCATTTTGATTTACGATCAGCTGCGGCCGCAAAATTTTGCTTTGACTTGCGGCCGGAGCTTCAAGTTGCAAAAAGAAAAGGCAGGGAATTCAAATTAGAGGGCTAATTCAAATTAGAGGGCTAACTGTTGGTCGGCGAAAAGTTTCTTTGTAGTTCTTTTGCCCCAAAGGTTAGTGTGCACGCATTTGCAGAGAGGCTTCAGACTGTGATGTTGCTTTCTGCTTCTGGGTGAGTACATTTACAGGGTTTTGCAGGGTGGGTTTGAAGGGGCTTATGTTTCTGTGCTGTGATTTTTTGTTTATTTAGTTTAGTTTTCTTTTTTGGTGTGTGTTTTCCCCAGCCCCATCACGTTCCAATGGAGCTGGCTGGGGGGAGGGCTGTTTTTTATTCCCCCCCAGCCCCATGGCGTTCTGATGGGGCTGGCTGTGTGGGGGGGTATTTCCACCCCCAGCTCCATCACATTACAATGGAGCTGGCTGTGGGGGGTGGGTTTTTTAAAAAAAATTTCCCCAGGCCCATGGTGTTCTGATGGAGCTAGCTGTGGGGTGGGTGGGTGTTTTTGATTTTCCCCCCAGCCCCATTGCCTTCCGATGGAGCTGACTATGGGGGGTGTTTTTGATTTTTTCCCCCAGCCCCATCGCCTTCCGCTGGGGGTTGGAGTGTGTGTGTTTTGGTGTGTTTTTTTGAGGGAGGCGGCGGAATGGATTACGCCTTCCACTGGGGGCTGGAGTGTGTGTGTTTTGGTGGTTTTTTTTGAGGGAGGCGGCGGAATGGATTAGTGGGGTTTCAATGCATTTCAATGGGAAATGGTGCTTCAACTTATGACCATTTCGAGTTACGCCCATCTTCTGGAACGGATTATGGCCGTAAGTTGAGGCACCACTGTATATTAACTGTCTCCAATCAAATAGATTCTGTTTGCATTTAGAAAAAAATTAGCTCATGAAGTAATGGTGAACTAAGAAAAAGCTTGTATTTCCCCTCCCCCCGATTTGTAAATTTCTAAAAGAATTTGTTATGAAGAATACCTTGGGGAGGAACGGAAAATCATGCATGTGAGTGTCCACTTGCCTGATCTTTAATATCACACACTGTTTACCTCACAAAAGGGTCAATATAAAAATAGACAAGAGGCTGTTCTATGTCCATTTTACTTACCAATGTCTCCCCCTCTTGGTCTGATAGCCAAGGACATTTAGTACTTCCAACTCTTTCATGAAATGATGCATTAATTCATTTGATTACTTTACATGAAAGCCCCCCTCCTCCTCAGTATAATCATCTGTTCCTCATGGTTAAGCTAGAAAGATGGTAATATACAGTGCTAATTACAAACATAAAGACTTTATTGAATGCTGCTCAGTCCCTCAGTCTTTCAATACAAAACCATTTTCCACACAATTGCCATTTAAGAGACTGGAATGGTACTCTGATAGAAAGATTTGCCAAAAAAAAAAACACAAAAAAAACCCCCAAACCAAATGATTGAGTAAAGACAGACAAAACTTCTAGGGCCAGCCAAACCAAATGATTGAATAAAGACAGACAAAACTTCTAGGGCCAGCTTTTGCCATTTTTAACACAATGTATTCTGGAAACAAAACAAGAAACTTATTCATTACATAGATGTTTTGATACCTGGAAAGGAATTGCACAACCTAAGTTTTTAATAAGGGGCTTGACTATCTTGCAAAGCCAGGTTGAAACAAAGAACTGCCAGGCTCTACACAAACATTTGAATTCATTGGGGAGATTCACTGATAGTTTCCAATCAGGTTCAGAACCAAGTAACACGAGTATTAAATACTCACAAAAAAGAGACATCTGAAGGCTTAACACATAGCGGGGTAACCTCTGAGTAGAATTTTATGATTCCTCATTAATCAACTAGAGCTCATCCATGCTACATCATGTTTTCAACCTGTGGCACACTTAAAGACATATGCCCTGTAACCACCACCTACCACATGATTACTGTTGCTGGAAAGGGAGGGCAAGGGCAAGAGCAGGGATGAGCGTTCCATAGGACCCAACAACCATTCCTGCTGTCTCCCTCCTATGTCCAGGGGGGTCAAATGTCTGTAACAAAGAGTGCTTCTGTACTTGAAAAGTCTCCCTGAACAATTTAAAATCATGATCTTCAGATGTTTGAATTGCATAGGGAGCCTGATTAAGAAGAAAAGCCCACCCCCTTCAGATGTTCAGCCACCAACACACAACAGGATTCAGGATCAGTGATAAGGACGTGCAGAAGCAGGTAGGGTAAATAGGCTCACCTTTGTGACTAAAAGTGATGGGAAAGAGATAGAGAGAACAAATGATGTGCTATACTCTCGACCCCAAGGCTCTTTGTGAAACAAAGCTCTGAAATTCATAGCACCATAATGGGCAGATGGGACAGTATATCAGTCAGACAGAGATTGCACCTCACTCCTATGCTTGTTTTACTCAGAAGCAAACCCCACTAAATTTAATGAGGCCCACTCCTACACACAGAGGCATAAGACTACTCTTAGCTTCATTTTCAAAAATACAGAAAAGCTCGAAGTCTCTTCCCGAGTCTCATCCAAGGCCTGCAGTAATGTGAAAAGCAGAGGGGGCGGGTGAGGGGCACTAGGACTATGTGCAACACGAGAAAAGAAAAATTCAAGTCATAATATTCACCACTCCCATAATTAAATCACACACATCATGTATGACAGAATTCATTTCTATGAAATGTCATAATTGACAATATAGCAATGATTAGAGACAAATTTACAATATGCTATGGTGAATAATGTCACATTCAATCATTGTATTTCAGTTCAAAAAATTCATTTACATTTTGCCAAAGGGGAAAAAAACAGCCATTTCAAATATACTGATGAGGTTTCTCTTTTGCTTTTTTACATATTTAAAAAAAAACCCTTGTGTATAAAAGGTATGCCTCACAAAGAGAGGCTGTCACTTTCATTTGGCACTTGATCATTTGGTGCATTTATCGTGGAGGACGTGTTACTAAGCTGGCCAGACAGGGCTTTGGTTAACTTCAGTTCTTCCAGCTTCTTCCACAGTTCTTCACGCTCTAGCTCTTTCCTCTTCTCTCTAAAGGAAAGTAAAACAATTATTGAATGCCGTTTGGTCATTGTGCAATAAGATACTTTGACAAAGCAGGAGCATAAGGATGGTATAAAGCTTTATACAGTCGTGCCCCACTTAACAATTACCCTGCATTACGATGAATCCGTGTCACGACGATGTTTTTGCAATCGCAAAACGATGGTCTAAATGGAGTTTTTTTGCTTTGCGAAGATCGGTTCCCTGCTTCGGGAACCAATTCTTCGCATTATGACAATCAAAACAGCTGATCATCGGGTTTTCAAAATGGCTGCCGGGTGCTCAAAATGGCTCCCCACTGTGCTTAGGGACGGATTCCTCACTATACAGGCACCGAAAATGGCTGCCATATGGAGGATCTTCACTGGACGGTGAGTTTTTAGCCCATTGGAACGCATTAACCGGGTTTTAATGCGTTTCAATGGGTTTTTAAATTTCACTTTATGATGTTTTCGCTCTACAGCGATTTTGCTGGAACGAATTAACGCCATTAAACGAGGCACCACTGTAGCTTTAACTTAACTTCTTCACCAGATTCCATTTGTTACCATGGTAGTTAGACTTTACTAAGCTACATGAGGTACTGATTTGACTCAGTATCAGGCAGTTCCTAGTGTTCTTCCTCTTGGTTCAAAAGAGTAACAGAGAAGGTCATGGGCATCAAAACAGACCTGCAACCTTACTAGAATAAGAACAAACATGGATTGTACTGTAGTACTATAAAATGAAGTACTCAGTTTACTTTTATGACAGGCACCTCCTGGCACATGTTGCCAATTATATGAAGATGCAAGCCTAAATATGTATATGTGTAATCAACTAATTCAAAACTATGATTTTTGCAGAGATGTGATGTGCACTCCAACAAAACAGAGAAAGTAACTCAGTGACAAAGAATACAAAGAAATAATGCAGCTGCTTTACCCTGTATGAGTCCAGAATGAAGACTATTAGATTGGTGGTATCAGTTCACAATACAGTTGTGCCTCGCAAGATGGAAGTAATTCGTTCCGCGAGTAGCGGTGTCTTGCGAAATTTTGCAATGCATTCCTATGGGAACCTTGCAAGATGAAAATAATTCATTCGTTTTGCAACAGTCTTGCAAAAAACGTTCGTCTTGCGAAGCACGGCCATTGAAGAAGCCGTCTTGCGAGGCACCACAGCAATTGCAAAAAAAATCTTGCGGGGTTTCATCCCGCGAGGCATTCATTTTGCGAGGCACCACTGTACACTACTTCCAACAGCAGGGTTACAGACAGAGAAAGACAGAGATAGGGAATCAACTTCACCAAATAAGGTACTGTATAAGATTCTGGGGAAACGGCAAGACAGAACGGGATTTCTCTGGATTATGATTACACAGAATGAGCTACACAAGAGTCTAGGAGGATCTGGCAGAAACAGGGCCAAACATAGAAATATTTAACTTATTTCAGAGTAAAAGGAAGCTAAAAACTTCACCTCTGAGTTGGCTGTGAGTATAAGCTACCATACGAATCTTGGAGCATGAATTCACAATGAAGTTACCAAGACACATGTCTGGACACATTGTCAACTTTAGATCAGGGAAATACAGGCCAAGCTAAGGCACTCTGTCCTAGGCAAAGGTTGGGGGGCTGAATAGCTGGAAAATCCATATCTGACAGTCCAGAGCCAAATAATTTTGATTGCAAAATAGAATTTGGGGTAAAAGTGTAAGAACAACATCTCCCTTCAGATCCTGTGTAATCCAAGAAAAACAAAAGAAATGACAGAATGGTACAAAAGAAGAAGAAAAGGAAAGCTCATTAGGCATATAGCTATTTAGCTTCATTTAGCCTGAGAAGTTGCCTGAAAGCCACAATGGATGCTCTACAAGGGATTGAGTTCTATTGTTATTATTATTACCTTGCACTTTTCATTTCTCAGTATTGCTGGTGCATGGGGATAGAGAGGTCTGTGGTTTGGGGAGGTTCCATCAAATTTTATAAGGTTGCTGCAGATCATTTATAGTGGTGCCTCGCACAACGAGCGCCCCGTAGAGCGATGAATTCGCTCTACGGTGATGCTTTTGCGATCGCTAATGCGATCGCAGAGCGATGCCCCCAATGGGTGAAAATCGCAGAGCGAAGGTCAGTAAGCGGTTCGCTTACCTACCTTCGCTTTGCGACCCGCCGATCAGCTGTTCCGCGGCGTCAAAATGGCTGCCGGAACAGCTGAAAGGGCTGGGCGCAGCGTTTTCGCGCCCTCCCCTCGCTTACCAAGGGTGCGGAAACGCTGCAGCCTGCCATTTCGGCTGTTCCCGCGGCCAT